AGATTGTGTATATTGGACAAATAAAGCTGAATACGATGAATACGAAGTGCTTCCTTGAGAGACTAGCTCTAAACTCTATGTTCTTTTATTGTACTATCGTGAAAATTGCAGTAATCGTGAAATGTTCGAGAGTAATGGATTTAACGTTCAGTAATTACATAGGTATGAATCAATAGAATGAATTTTAATGAATGTATAGATATCAAAGTAAGGCCCATCGATCAAGCAAGTGGTTGTAGAAATATGATGGAAGTTCAGTAGAGATGATAGTTGAAAAAAATTGAAAACAATGATTTCTGCGTACAAATACGATAAATGAACATTTGTTGCGTATTGATAGTATAAGTTACTACCAATTAGTGTGTGACTCCGAACTTATACCGTTGCCAGCGTTGGGGTAGTCGAAAATATGCTATTATCAGTGTGCAGGAGGTTCACTCGACGGCTTAAACGAATAGTTTGTGTGCATGCGTGTGTCACCATACCACCAATTTACTTAACAGGTTGCAAGATTTTCGAAGTACGAGCAGCTAATCAGCTCGTTGGAAGTATTTGTCACACGATAATCATAGCGCCACTGCTGTGATGAGTGATTCAGAATACAATGATATGATATGAACTGACTTAGTTACGTACAATAGATTTGAGATTGTGCTGTCTACTTTATTCATCGAATAGGATATGTTAATTCATTCGTCTAGTACATTGAGTTTGAGAGATTCTCTGTCAACGTAGCTCTTCGACGTCGGGAATTCTCGATAATTGATGATAATCGTCGTGTATTCTCAGACGATCACGTTGGAAGATTGCGTGCTTGAATCACGCCAGGCTCACCAATTTATTACACGAGTTGTTGGCGCAATTTCCTTATTATTCAAAATATTTAATGATCGATACAAATATTGGATTTAATTCAAATATATACAGTCAATATTGCCATCGAATTACTTAAACAGTTAATCGATAAAGCTAGTCAAATAACTAACTATATGTGCAGGTGGCAGGTAATGCCCAAGCGTACATACGCATACAAACAAGCTCAGCAATGATAAAATTACAAAATATACATGTGAGGTGCTACAAACTCACTCTTATTTGTAATTTTTTCTTTTTGATTTTCAAAATAACACTCAGTTTCTAGAATAATTAGATCAAATGTCTTTCATTGTACAAATTATTTGTTCTTGTTCTTTTTACAGTTCCCTATCAATATGTTCAATGTTTCAAGTGATTCAATATTGAATAATGAATAATGAATGATCTCGTTAAATGATGATCAACTAATAAATGATAATGTTGACAACATCACAAATTACAACATTTCAAATCAGTTATGCATCTTCCATGTTATGGCTTATTGTACCTAGGCAATATGCTGACTACCTTTGAGTGATCAATATACGGCAAGGAGAAAATGATTTAATTACTTACTGTATGCTTGAAAGACAGCCTAATACTAATTTGCTCCAACTAAATAGAAGGAATAAAGAACAATTACGATCAGTTCAAGATTGGTTACTACAATTGAGACATTGCGTTTATATGTATGTACACACAAATCCAGAAAACATTGCATCATTTAATGCAAATTAACAGCAATACATGAGTGAGTCAAAATAGGGTTTTGAGGAGAGAAGATTTGTAAATGATAATTTGTCTACAAAGAAGGAATATTTGAAATCTTCAATCAATCATTGTTACACCACCATTAGAAACCTGGAAGCATTGAGAGATGGCCATTTCGTCCTGGTATGGGACTCATCAGCAGTGAGCATCCACGACTTCTGCACCTCGCAGGATTCGAACCCGGGACCTTCGGCATTGTGTGCGAACGCTCAACCATCGAACCACTGGGCCAGCAACCAACGGTGTTAATGTCTACCTCTGATTGATCTAAGGATTTTGCGTGGGTTGGACTCCATTGGTCACGCCACGTTGATGCGCACAGTTGATGAGTCCCATACCAGGAAGAAACGGCCGTCCAGTGCTTCCAGGTTTCTAAAGGTGGTCTAACAATGTCTGATTGAAGATTTCAAATGTGTAAAAAACACAAATCTCCAAAACTCTAACCGTAAAAGAAAGAATATTAAAACGTATATTAATGATTTATGGGTTAATAAAAAGCTTATAATAAGCGGAATATATACCTGAATATTATACAATTCGATTGTATACATAAATAGTCCATAAATTGATTTCCTAAATTACTGATTACTTTAAATTTCCTACGGACATAACGATATGTATAGCTACATATAAGGAATTTAAGTTTAAAATTAATTAACAAACGACTAGTAATAAATTGAGAATTGTGCTGGTGTTTCGTTCTCTGAGCTGGATGGTGTTTTGGTTGTGAAGCTTCCATTGTTCTCCTGCTGAACAACATCATCATCAGCACAAACTTCAGATAGAAGAAGTGAAGTATTTGAATTTCTCCACGTTTGACCTGTAGCTTGCTCTGTTAACCTTGGTCTTGATTGTTTGTGTTACTGACCTTAAATCTATCGTTGTTTGCACATTTGTTTTGATTGTATCCCACTTCTGATCTGTTTCTTCATCCTAAGCTTGCCTATGATTTTCCTGACTAGTTGATAAATCGGGTCAATGTCAATGTGTTTGGTGAATGCTGATTGACCTGAGTGCCAAGTTTCTAAAAATTCTCTATTGTTCTTTGTCCTCCCACTATCCAGTATTTCCACATTGTTCCAATCGAATGTATGTCCATAATTGTCGGTGTGTATTGATACTGCTAATTGATGTTCACATAAACGAAGCTGAAGAGACCGTCCACTTTGTCCTATGTAGTGGTGTTTTTCACTATCTGAACAATTTATTTTGTAGATGATATTTGATTTTTCTTCCTTTGTCATTTAGTCCTTTGGCCTACATAGGATTGATTAAGGTGATTCAGTTGGTTTGTGTGTATCACACCTATTCCAAAAAGGTTTCAGTAGTCGTGCTGTATGTATAGGTAGGATGATGACCCGTTTATTGGTTTCTTTACTTAATTTCGATTCTGTTGACAATTTCAGTTGTGTGGAAAGGCATTCTTTTGGAAGATAGTCATCAGATGTTTTTCTTCGTTTCATTTTTAGTGTTTCATATGTTCTGCAGTGTGTCATCGCTCTGTTGAACAAAGTTTGTATGCAGTTAATTTTATGAGTTCTTAGGTTGTACTTTATTTCATCAAATAAACTCATAAATGTTTCTCTTAGATAACATATTTTTTCATTGCTCTGATAGTAATTACTACTCATTTCTTATATATTTTCTTCCCAATAATTATATGTCTACATTCTCAATTGTTTGAAGATACAAGTGTTTATTAACAGCTGCCGACGCAAAATACTTCGTATTCGTTGGCCAGACAACATCAGCAACAACGAACTGTGGGAGAGAACAAACCAGATTCCTTCAGTGGATGAGGAAATCAGGAAGAAGTGGTGGAAGTGGATAGGACACACACTACGAAAAGCACCCAGCTGCGTCACGAGACAAGTCCTCACATGGAACCCTCAAGGCAAAAGGAAAAGAGGAAGGCCAAAGAATACATTATGCCGAGAAATAGAGAAAGATATGAGAGGAATGAACAAACATTGGACAGAACTGGAGAGGGAAGCTGAGGACAGAGTTGGTTGGAGAAAACTGGTGGGCGGCCTATGCTCCATTGGGGGTAACAGGCGTAAGTAAGTAAGTAAGTAAGTAAGTAAGTAAGTAAGTAAGTAAGTAAGTAAGTAATTCTCAATTGTTTACATCTAGAATATTTCGTTCAATTCAACCTTATAAATAAAAATATATTCATATTGGATAAAACATATCAATACCTTGAATAATAGTAGCTTCATTTTTGCTAGAAATTTTTCATGAATTTTCATCGATCAGAAAGAATATTTCTATTATCTAAACTTACGAGTCAAACGAGTGGCCAAGCGATCAAAGTGAATTCCTGAGTATTTTTTTTAAACTCTGTTGTATATTTCAATTGGAATGTTACTAAAAATAAAATAACAGTAATATTATGTAACATAAAGATGAGTCACAGTGCATATGAATGAATTAAAGACAATAAAACTGAAGAAAACCAGATTTATTAAAGTAAAAAATTATTGATTTTTGAAAAGTATTATCGAATGACAGCGAAGCAATAAAAGCATCAGTGTCGGTTGAATGTAAGCAAACACACGATAAGTCATTATTTGAAGAAAACGAAACACGTCCTCAAGAATTAACAATCAAAATGAGCAGAACATAAAGGATTGACATGAAAGTCGTAATCACAATCTTTACGATACAACCAGCAGAGAAATGGACAACACTTATACAAACGTAACAAAAACATTTTAGTATACCGAGATGAATCGAAGAAATTGTTCAAAATGAGGCAGTTACGATGGAATTCAGTATCATTGGAAAACAAATCAGATTTATTTCTAATTAAGGCGGATAAATTAAAGTCCATGAAAAATTGAACGGGTTCAAATGTTGATG